GGGTGCTGTACACCTAGCTCCTTCTCCCTCCCTTCTAGCGCTCGCCGGTTCAGCTTCTCCGCCTCCGAGTACTTCCCCTGATATTTCAGTACGCCCGCCAGGTTGTCCACGCTCGTCAGCGTATCTGGGTGCTGTACACCTAGCCCCTTCTCGTACCCTTCTAGCGCTCGTCGGTTCAGCTTTTCTGCCTCCGAGTACTTCCCCTGGCTTGTGATCACTGATGCTAGGACGGTAACACTTATTAGTGTTAACTGGTCTTCCTGTCCACATATCCTTTCTCTAGCCTTAAGCGCCTTTGCTGCTATGTCTTGTCCTCTCTTATACCCCCCTATCATCGACATGTACCATGCAGCATTTGTAAGAATCTGAGCCCAGTCCTTCAAGGACTCGTCAGTCGCCGGCTCTTTGTCGTATAGGGATTCGATATGCGGAAGTAACTGCTGGCACCTCCCCCAGTTCTCGAATTGCCCAGTTGGAAACTCCTGTGCCATCAGCCCTATAAACCTTTGCTTCCATATCCCCGCCTCGCTAAACGACGACAGCCAGACCTGCGTGCAGAATTGCACTAGCGCGTGCATCTCATAGATATCGGTCTCGGCTGTCGCTGCTATAAGCGAATATGTCCGTAAGGTATCAAAGTCTTCTTCGAAGGCGGCGTCAGCCTCGCCTTCGCCGTTTAATTCTGCCCCGTTCCTACTATGCTTATGAAGTATCGACTCTGGAATCCCTTGGGGGTTAAAGAAGCTCATAAGCGATAACAAGTCTGCAGCAGAAGGCCGTTCTTTACGAATACGCTCAAACGATATCTGCCACGTCGTTACCACCGAGTTGGATGTACTATCGTCCCTACGGATATCGTCTGTATCCCAATTTAGGAGATTTTCCCTCTTATTGTTGTTTCTTCGAAACTCGTCGAGGTACTTAGGGATCGTCATTCGAGCTTGCCGGTTGATGTATGCAGCGGCCTGGGTGATTGCAAGAGGGATGTAGTCGAGAGCACGCAGCAGATCAATTGTGTCGTCGGTCAACGCGTCCTGCAGTAGCTTGTTCCGGAGGAGCTGTAGGCCTTGGGCCTCGTCCATTGCCTGCACCTCCTTGATATTCTTATAGCCTCCTGCTAGTCCGGCTGCTGCATCCTTGTTCCTAGAAGTGATCAGGATCGATCCGTTGGGGCTCTGCGGGAGGTAAACCGCCAGCGATGCCGGCGGGCTTTCGGACGGCTTGTCTTGCTCGCCCTTGCGCGACGAGAAGGTCTCGACGTCGTCGACGTTGTCGAGGATCATTGTCCATTGGCCGTTTGTTTCCTCGCATAGCCAGTTACGGACTAGCCGTAAAATATCGGCCTTCGGATTCTCTCGCCCCGGAAGCTTTAACCTGTCTGCAATGTCTCTGTACGCTTCTTCAAATCGGGCCTTGGTGCTAGCGTATACCCAGAAGATGGACGTTTGCGGCGATGTATCGCGGATATCGTAGCAGTATCGGATAGCTATTTGCGACTTCCTACCTGCTATTAGCCTAATAGTGTAAAGAACAGATACTAACATACCCTACGCCGCCAAGGCCGACGAGCGCGGCGCGAGCGCCCGGCCCTGCACACTTGTCGCAGATCCACGTTAGAATATCGGGCCGGTCGACGAAGTCAGGGTCTGGTGCGAACGGGACGGTGGAGAAGGGCTTCCGTTCTCGGCTTGCCCCCTCTGCACTGGTGTTAGCCACGGGTTAGCTACGTTCCGAGAGAGCATCTACCTTGTCTTGACGGGACTCCGAAGTTGAAGTTGCTCGTTTGTTGCATCCTGGTCTTCGGGCGCGGGACCGGACACACGCTCTTTTCAACAATATTATACCAGAGCCAAAGCCGATCATGTACTCGCACATAGCCGGCGTCCTCGGAAGTCTTGAACTTTGTCATCCCTGTGTGGGTTGCATGAATGCCAATGTTTGGATACGCCGTAAGGATCGCTGATTGCTTCGGTACTATCTGTAAGAGCTTAGCACTAGAATTCGGCTATAGAGGATATTAGAGGAATTGCATGCCTCGCCGAGCCCAGGGTATCCGACTTCTTCATAAAAACAAAAGATGTTAATATGTTTGTTGTCGTTTCTACCTCGGTCGTCAAGCATGATATGAAACTCTTGTTGGACCGTGGCGAGCATTTCAGAGCCCGGCTGTAATACTCCTACAATCTTGGAGTTGGTTTTGCGCAGCAGGTTTGAAAGTTTCGAGATTGGATGTCCCCAATTTGCAATATTCGATCCGAGGTGTGGAGTACCCATGAACGCAATCGCCACGGTGCTTTCAAGCAAGTCCTTAACATGCTGCTGGGCCGAGCCGCGAGAGACAAGCAGTGCCTGCACTGGGGTATTAGTGGACTGGTAGCTGGTAAATATATTGGAGGATCACTCGCCTGCTCAGCAACCAATCCACCAAGGCTATGCGCAACGAAGATCAGAGGACGAAGGTTCTGTTACTTGAGTCAGCGTTTGCTAACGGCCTTCCAACAATATATGTCGGCTACTTCGGCGACAGCTCTTTGCGGCTCTTTTGACGTGCATCACAGCAAAGACCGTAAATGCCCGGTATGTGCGCCGGGACGACACTCTTGCGTCGCTAGAGCTCTTGGTTTAAATTGCGCCGCAACAAGTCTTACAGAATCTGTCTTCTTCCTCCGCATAGCCAGGTCCTCAGCCAAAGCTTTCCCGTGGTCTCTGAGTGTACTGTTTCCGGCCGTGCTCAATCCTCGAACGATATCGGCATCGTAGCCAAACGTGATGACTCGCGCCTTTGGGAGATCTTTTGCGAGTAGATCTTTTGGCCAGAACACGTTGCCAGTCCTGTCGGTCCAAGTCGATTCGCGATTGCCGGTTAAACCGTGGACGAAAACGATGCTGATTTTACTGGTTGGCGGAGTTAATGAGGTATGCTAGATCGCTTACTCGATAATGTCATCCACGCTCTCGGATAGCGTTTGAAGGCCATAATCTCCAACCGTTGAGAATAGCTCATCTGTTGGGGGCTCGGCAAGGGCCGTCTGAGCACCTCCTTTGCCCTTCGACAGCTTCCAGAACGCCATACATATATTGAATGAAACTGGTTGAGACAGCTTGTATCTTCGTAAATTGCTGGGCTGGAAAGAAGGTAGAGGACAAGACGCCAACATGCTCTCCATAAGAGGCTATTTTCGACGAAGTCAACTCCGCCCCCATAGCATGCGGGGTCTTCCACTCGCGCGTGGTCAGTGGTCTCCAGACTCCAGTGGCAGAGTGGCTTCATCCTGCATGCATGGACCACATAAACTCGATTGGAGAGCGCTGTAACGACTGGTATCGGCTCGATAATATTCCGTCACAGCCTCAACTTTGACAAGCTCCGAAAACTGGACTTATATAACGGCGAGGCGCCATACTGCGGGGGTCTGGTCACTCCTTAGCTGCTACTTTGAGTGCGAATAGATGTCCACAAGAAACACCTCGCCTGCCTCGCATCTGAGTTATCCGAGTCAAAGCATGCAACAACCGAGCGACTTCACTGGGGGCATTCAGGGTGACACCGTCATTGCCGGGACGACCACTGCGGCTGGCGGGACGACGAACTTCATTATTTCAAGTGAGCACACCATAGGATTCATGACCACCCAATATCTATTATCAAATATCAAATATCAATGCTTAAACCAGCGCACAGACGGACCGAGCCGAAAACGCACCCCTTTCTCCACCGTCCCGTTCGCACCAGACCCTGACTTCGTCGACCGGCCGGACATTCTAGCGTGGATCCACGACAACTGCGCAAGACCGGGCGCTCGCGCCGCGCTCGTCGGCCTTGGCGGCGTAGGGTATGTTAGTATCTGTTCTTTACACTATTAGGCTAATAGCAGGTAGGAAGTCGCAAATAGCTATCCGATACTGCTACGATATCCGCGATACATCGCCGCAAACGTCCATCTTCTGGGTATACGCTAGTACTAAGGCCCGATTTGAAGAAGCGTACAGAGATATTGCAGACAGGTTAGAGCTTCCGGGGCGAGAGAATCCGAAGGCCGATATTTTACGGCTAGTCCGTAACTGGCTATGCGAGGAAACAAACGGCCAATGGACAATGGTCCTCGACAACGTCGACGACGTCGAGACCTTCTCGTCGCGCAAGGGCGAGCAAGACAAGCCGTCCGAAAGCCCGCCGGCATCGCTGGCGGTTTACCTCCCGCAGAGCCCCAACGGATCGATCCTGATCACTTCTAGGAACAAGGATGCAGCAGCCGGACTAGCAGGAGGCTATAAGAATATCAAGGAGGTGCAGGCAATGGACGAGGCCCAAGGCCTACAGCTCCTCCGAAACAAGCTACTGCAGGACGCGTTGACCGACGACACAATTGATCTGCTGCGTGCTCTCGACTACATCCCTCTTGCAATCACCCAGGCCGCTGCATACATCAACCGGCGAGCTCGAATGACGATCTCTAAGTACCTCGACGAGTTTCGAAGAAACAATAACAAGAGAGAAAATCTCCTAAATTGGGATATAGACGATATCCGTAGGGATGATAGTGCATCTAACTCGGTGGTAACGACGTGGCAGATATCGTTTGAGCGTATCCGTAAAGAACGGCCTTCTGCTGCAGACTTGCTATCGCTTATGAGCTTCTTTAACCCCCAAGGAATTCCAGAGTCTATACTTCGAAGGCATAGTAGGACAGTCAGTAGGACAGTGGCAAAACCAGGCTGCGAAGACGAGGCTAATAATGAATTCGACGAAGACTTTGATACCTTACAAGCTTACTCCCTTGTTTCTGCGACAACCGAGACTGACGTGTGTGAGATGCACGCCCTGGTGCAGTTCTGCACACGGATCTGGCTATCGTCGTTTAGCGACGCGGAGTGGTGGAAGCAACAATTCGTACAATTAATGGCACGAGAGCTTCCCAACGGCGAGTTTAAGAACTGGGCGAAGTGCCAGCAACTGCTTCCGCATGTTGAATCGTTATATGGCGCAGAGCCGGTGACTGAGAAGTTTTTGAAAGACTGGGCTAAGATTCTTACAAATTCTGCGTGGTATATGTGGATGACAGGGAGGTATAAGATAGCACACGACATAGCAATAAAGGCGCTGAATGCTGGAGAGAGGGCAAATGGGCAGGACGACCAATTGACACTAATAAGTGTTACCGTCCTGGCGTTGGTGCTGCAAAGTCAGGGGAAGTACTCGGAGGCGGAGAAGCTGAACCGGCGAGCGCTAGAAGGGAGGGAGAAGGAGCTAGGTGTACAGCACCCT